GTGGGTAAGAACCTCACTTCTTCAGATGCTGGAAATTCTTCAGATGAAGAAGTGAGGTTCTTACCCACGAAAGCTTATGCTCCCAATACTTCTGTTAGTCTTAAAGGTGCCACAGGACCCTCTGTTGCTTTTACAGATTCAGACTAACACGGCTACCCCTCTGATTTTGGCCAAAATATTTCACCAGCACTAACACTGACTGATATCGTCTTATTGTTTCCCTGAGCTCCTCCGTCTATCATCACTTGTCTTAAACTCAGATTGTCACAGCTCTTTGGGCCAGGGACCAAATTTTTATTCTGTGTTAGTGCATCAAAATACACAGAAGGAGTGGAGTTGGGGCAGTGCCGAGGGTTGAGCACCCCCTGGGCATATTAGAATTTGGGGGGAAAAGGCGGGTTCTGGGAATTGGATCCCCTGGGTTACTTCTGTAGTGAGGGCAGTGGGGTCAGTGGACTAGAGCGTTGGGGACCAGGGGTCAGGATTTCTAGGTTCCAGCTCCGGGAGGGCAGTTGGGTCTAGCAGTTACAGCTAGGGTGACCAAACAGCAAGTGTGAAAAATCAGGACAGGAGGTGAGGGGTAATAGGTGCCTATACAAGACAAAGCCCCAAATATCAGGACTGTCCCCATAAAATCTGGACATCTGGTCACCCTAGTTACAGCAGGAGGGTAGCTGAGAATCAGGACTCCTGGGTTCCGCAGAGAGGGGACTATGGTCTAGTGGTTATAGCGTCGGGGAGGGGAAAGACGGTCAGGATTTTTCAAATCTACACCCAGCTCGGCCACTGACTTACTGCACCGCTCGGGAAAAGCCACACACTGGGCTAGACTCAGCCTTGCAAAGCTCAGCTTTGATGTGAATAGGCTATCTTTACAGTACATGGGGAGAGGGGCGCCTGAGAATGGGACCCACAGAAACCAGTCTGCAGAGTGCTAGAAATGCCGAGGAGAGGGGTGTGGCCTAATGGAGTTAGGCTCCTCCCTCTCCTTGGAATTCACAGCCAGGAGCCCTCTCCTGGAGCCTGGTGCCTAAGACACTTTACTCACTAAGAATGAGGTCAGGTTGGGTCGGGTTCGGGTTACCCCGAGGGCATAGGGTGAATCCCCCACATGTGTGTGTATCGTGCGAGGGGGGGGATCCTTCTCTGTGCCCACCAGGGACAACTCACCCCAAACTACCAGCTGCTCGCAATGCTGCCCCCCACACTGGTACTGCTAACAGGGAGTTTCGAGAGGGAGTTCTCCAGGTGAAGGAGGAGCAAATACGGGACCCTTGGGGTAAGTGGCTGTCTGTAGTGTGTTTGTTTGTGTTTGGGGGTTACTTGCTGTGTGCTGAGCTTATGTTTGTCTGTCTGTTTGGTTGTTTGTTTGAAGGACCGTGTGCTGTGTCCAGCAATTGGAAGCTGTGAGCTTGTCAACGAGGTTTGAAATCTAGAAGCCTCTGTTCATTGGTTGAGCCTTAGTCAGGGGGTGGGGCTATCAAGAAGGCCAAGGCTTTATAAAGCAGTGAGCGAACAACCAGGGGCCGCTAACAGGGAGTTTTGAGAGGGAGTTGGGAAAGAGGCAAGGTACACTTGCCATTCTTTAAAACCTTTACACTAAACTATAATCAAAACGTCTTGATTTAAACAAAACCCCCTGTCATTAACCTTGGTAGCAGTAGGAGACAATGCAGGGAGAAGCCCAGCTGCAGAGTGGGGGCTATCCAGTTTATTGCACTGAGTGTAGCATGTATGATTACCTGCCCTGTGGGCGGGTGGCATATGTGTGCATTCGGTGCAAGGAGCTCCTGGCCCTCAGAGACTGCGTACAGGATTTGGAGGCTAGTGTGGCAGAACTGGAGGAGCTAAGGGAGGCAGAGAGGTATGTTGATGAGGCTTTCTGGGACACTGTAGATTTGTCCCATCTCTGGTCAGACAGCCCCTGCGCAGTTAAGGAGGATGAAAGGCTCAGGGAAGCAGAGCAGTCAACGGGAGCAGAGGGAAACCTTCCCATAGTTGGGACCCTCCTTCCAGACGGTG